AAACCATGTTTTTAAATTGGAATTGCATTTGTATATAAGAACTACAAGACATACAGCGTGTAGTGTCAAAAATGACAGGATTGAACATGACAGAGGCAGAAGGTAGTTTATCATGAAAGACTGAAAGTGCTTGCCCCATCTTGATTTGTAATAGAATAACTGGCTAGGAGGTGGATCCAAGCTGACCTTACYTTACTGTTTGATAGTTTTCCAACAGCTGTTTTCCAGGAGCCTTTTGTTCGTCTTTCACTACTGTGTTTATGTATCAGTGATGGKTTTCATCTTGTTACTGGTGTTGGAAACTTTCTTTTAATTATGTATTTGTTTTTAAATYGCTGTGTGAGTTTCATGTTTAGAATCTTTGTTCCACATTAATTGTAACCAAAGGCTTTACTTCCCAGTTCAGTAAGATTTACTTGTTTAATAATACAATAGGTTTATTTGGTTTTGGTATAAAGTATKGTATGTGGCTGTAGGTAATTAAAAGCATTTCCTGAAATATGGTGGGTTTGACTGTACCATTCTGGAATAGCCTCTGCTGATCATGAACAGTTGAATAATACTCATTTGTCACATAGGGTGTTGACTCAGACACAGATGATTTCAATTCAGATGACAGTGGGCGTTACAAAACCCAGCTGTTGACTCTGCTCCTCTTTCCAMAAGTTGCTTTGTCTGTGGTGGGAATGGCTGATCTATGGAGCAGTTTTTGACAGCCACAGTTTGTGGCCTAATTTATTCAAGTAAGCCAGTGGTGTTTTAATCCACTGGGTTGGCAAACTGTAACAGTTTRGGAGCTGCTTTCCATGTAAATCATSRCTGCTAGTATAGTAGTGGCAGCCTTTGGAGAAGAGTTTAGGCCTGGTAGGATGCTTAGGTTGCCTGTATTAGTGCACAGATTCTCCGTTTCTGATTCACARCTAACTTGAGAGTCTTTGCAGCAGTGTGCCAGCACTTGCAGAGTAGTTGCAGACAACTGCTGGCAAGACACATTTTCTTGGCTCAAAACAATTAATCTCAAACTAAGGCAATTTTCTCCAAGAGCTTTGGTTGTTAATCAGATTTGGAGAAAAGACAACAAGAAACATTAAAACAGATGCTCTTCTTTGAGGTTTCAATTGCACTGGCACTGGAAGAAGACCATTTACCTTTTTTGGAAAAGGGACATGGTGGGCACAAGAATATGAGCCAATAAATTTATTGGCCAAGGCTGCTGATTCTATTGAATAAATMAATTGGGTGTTAAATAGGAAGCCTTTGAAATAGGGCTACTAGGTAGGCTGCTTAGGAGGGAAGAAAGAAAATGGGTTTGGGTGGTGGCATGGTTGGGAAGGGTGCCAATTTTCCTTGGTTTCCCTTCTTTCCCTTGTAGRCTAATACCTTGCTGAGCTCACAAGATAACTGAGGATTATGGACTTGGTTGACTTCTCAGTAGAGTTAGGAAAGCTAACACTGATAGCAGTAGGTGGAAGAGACAGCCTTATTTTAATAYGTTAGAATAATCTCAAATTGCGGCTTCTTGTTTATTAGTATTTAGATACATATTATGTAAACTTCAGATTTTTGCCCTTGAAACAGTTATTTTCCCAAGAAGAACTTGATTCTATTTTTGTTTTTGATTATGCTTTTATAGCCTTTTTTTGGACTTAAAAATAGAATACAGATATCTTCTATCTAATAAACTTGTGGACTAGATGCTTCTCTTGCCTTTTTTCTCTTGTACCAGGATTGAATTCCTTGCACTACAGCAACCCTGAAGTCATTACACTGCACTTAAAACAAAATGCAGAAAGGGATGACCTTTTGCTAGGACTCTGTGTTGTTTATATTGCTAAGCCTGATTATCATCTCCCAGCAAAAGCCAGTTTAATCCTTAAAGATTTGTACTTCTAGTATCTGTTCAGAATTGTCTATTGTTTGCTGTCTGGGTTCTCATTGATTATAATGTTGTGCATCTCCACAATGCCCCTATTTGCCCCTTGGATCTTCACTGCACAGGGCAGCTCTTATCCTTCCTTGCTGATAACATATCACCAATGGTACCAGTTAAGAGCTGAAAACACTTCTAGCATAATGGAAAGTTCTACTTTTGCCAGGATGACTCATTAATTAACCCYGGGATGGAGAGGCTTCCTGTGCCAACTTAAGGAGTTACGGGAAGRTATTATTATATAGCAAAAGATAAATTGATGGGAAGAATTTTGTCAGCCTGGTAGGATTTCTGTTTTGTAATACTATCAATCTGCCTGAAACAAGCTTGGAAACTCGCTGAACAATAGATACTGTGGGAATGGGTTACATCTTGCTTTGCTACAGGAGAGACAGACAGCTGCTGAGAAGAATGGTAAGAGCAGTGTGTGGAGGCAAACAGTACATCCAGGAGGCACTAAATGTCTTTTCCTTCCAACTGACCACAAGCTTTTGGCTTTAAATAGTTCAGTGTTCAAATGTAGCTACCAGGTGGCCGTTTAGGAGGGAAGGAGGAAAACAGGCTTGGTTTTGGGTGTTGTCAGGGATTGGGAAGGCTCCTGAGACCATGAAGAGGCCAGCAGAGACTTAGAGCGCTGTGCAGAATGCCCTCATGTGCCTGTCAGACRTTGCTGAAAGTGAGTGGGTGGCTGGAGTATGGTTTCACTGTGCTAGCCTGGTGTGGATGGAATGTCTGTAATGCAGGACTTCAGCAAATCTGTCYCATGGACTTCAAAGAATCTTGTGATGCCTTCATAGTGCTGGGGTGATTTACTTTCTGTCAAGGAATCTTTGCCATGTCTGTAAGATWAAGCATTGTGTGTTTGTAGCAGACTTGAACCAAGCAGAGTGGTCTCTACATAAAGACATATGGTGGATGTAAATGTCTCCAGTGAAGAGCTGTAACAAGGCCTGGATGTGAGAAGAAAGCTCCATCACTTGAGATTTAACTYCCAGTAGTTTCTGAGATAGAAAGAGCTTTTGCTGCAGATATCCTTCCTTCAGAGCAGGGAAGCAGTAAAAATTTTGGGGAGATGCTTAATTTAAGCTAAAAGTGTCATTTGGACTTGACCTATTAACATTTGGGCATTACAAATGTTGACGACTGGCTATTGAAATACCAAAATACAGATATTTTGATCTCCAATGAAGCTGCTTGATTGATTTCCCCTCAGATGCACACATGTACAGGGGTGACTTCTGCTTTTTGCCCCAATGGGTGTCTGTTTACTCAAAGTACAAAAGGTTAGACAGACTTGTTACCTGATTGCTTTTTGGCTGGTTATGTCAGTCTGCTGTCTGTCTAGGAGGAAACAGGTGCTGAGTTGTGACATGTGGAATAAACCATGTGGAATAAATTGAGGGSCATGAAGCAGATAGGAATATAACTTTGTACTAGAGATTGCAAGCAAAAAAGAGAGAGATGAGGAGAMTAATTTTGTTAAGAAAATGAGCATGCCAAGTAAAATACAGGTTCAAACCATTTGTTTCCTTGAGAAACTTTATGGTCTAAATTTGACATAGACTACAGCAAGTATCCAAAGAACCGCCATATGGAGCAAGAGCAGCTTGTGTTAAGATCATATACTTAACAGCTTAGTTYATAAATTTCTATTGAGCAGTGTCTCAATTCAGCAGCAGAAAAAGGGTGCTTCATGTGGAGACTTGAGTGAGAAAAGAATGATGAGACAKTTTTGAGTAGATCTTGCAGATGCAAAAAGGAAAGATTAGGAAAGAGCTTCTGTAAGGGGGGGAGAAACATGAATCCAGGTGTAAACAAAACTATTTCGGTTTGTTACTCAATGATGAAGTGACTGCTGGAACTGACTAAATCAAGTGTTTTCAACATCTCACCAAAGAAGTGACCAGTCTAAGGRAGCAGAATAAAGAAATAACACTGACCTTTTCAAATTAAAGTAAAATAAAATAAAAGTTGGACAGGAATCTAATTGTCATCTGCAGTTCTGTACACACTATAGAGTGGATGTCAGCAGCATTCAGGCATGTTGTGCTACAGCAGTTTTTTCTCTTGCCTCAAATTAAAGTTTAAGTGTTAAAAGAGAAACCATGCAGAATCCAAGCTCTGTAGTTATGCTGTCATGATGTTCATAGTGTGTTGTTGATGTCTCTACATCAGTAGCTACAAGTGCTTCCCCAGACTGCAGAGATCACTGGGAGCTGCTTCCTTTCAGGAGAATGGAGATCCTAAATCTTGGCCCTATTACACACTATTCAATATCAATCCACTCACCACCTTTGACCTACTGCTGCAAGGGGCTGACACCCATTGGAAGGTGACCTGGAAAGACAGGAGCAATGTCTCCATACAGAAGGAGCTAATAGGAAGWGTTTTCACCTTCCAAATCTTTGTGAGGATCTTCCTGAATTGAGTGCTGGAGATTTTAACATCAACACTGTGATAAGCAGAGAATTGGATCTGTAACGGCAGAAAATGGCAAGCATGAAACTGAAATCTGAAAGAGTAAAAGGGAAAAGTAACAATTTCAAAGTTAATGGAGACTACATGGCCAAAATAAAGAAGAGATGGCTGCTTTTGTTATATATAAAGTCATCCTCCCTCAACTCCACAAAAAAGCAATGAGATGAATATGTTATGGAAAGGAAAGAGGGTGGTGGGGAGAATAATAATCATGTGTACAGAAAGTAACTACTTAGTATCCCACAATCCTGCTCTTTTAAATAAACGTTGGTTTTGGTTGTCTTTATGGATTCAGAGAGAAAATATCCCTGAAATTCYATTTCATTTGAAGTTACTGGGGAAAAAGCTGTTGCTGGGTTCTCAGTACTTCAAACAAATCATGAGTATTGATACTTTGAATATTTCATGTGGTGACACATGAAATATTGATACATAAATACAGCATTATATTAGATAAACTCTGGTGTCTCATCCTCAGCTCTGCTGTGTTATTGTGTGTAAACTCATGAGCTGTTTTTTCATTCARTTGGGGCATATATGAACAGCTCTTTATCCACAAACAAAACAATTACAAATCCTTCTGTGTTCACAGGTTTTGGATGCAGTCTGAGTCCAAGGATGAAGAAGAGACACCTTCCCTGCACTGGGGACTAGATCCTGTGTTTTCTGCATTTGCAAGGCTGTATATTAAAGACATTATAGAAATGAGAGAATCTAAACAGGTGCCAGGTATGTATTTATATGTGCTGATTATAATATACACAATATTATGATTAATTTATGTTGTGCTTTTTATCAAGCAGTTGAAGAATACTTCACAAACATCATTAAAGTAGCTTTCCATAACCTTAAGCTTTTCATAACCTTAAGCTAATTAGTATTTTCTAACAGTTCTAAGAACTGTTTTATGTGAAAACTGTATGAAAAGTAAAATTTATTTGTTAAAATGGTTTATTTTTCCCTCCAGAACCTCTCCTCTTTAAGGTAGTGTTGTGTTTCCTCTCTGGGGCAGTGCTTGTTAGATTCTCATAAAGGAACTTGTAAAAATGCTGGTCCTTTCTGGCCATAGGTGTTCTATCTCCCCACTGTCTGTACATTTATTGCAAAATTTTGACAGTTGATGACATGGCTGGATGTGTGTATTTTGCTTTTTCCTATGGATATTAATACATTATAAAACAGATACAAGTTTTGAGGTTTTGTCTCCTTAATTTCTAGACATGATAAATGTACATTCTTCCTACATTGGAACAACCTTATTGTGAATTCCAGCCTCCATGCTGGATCTTACCCSACACCTTTTGTTTCTGAGCCATTGCTGGCAATTGTGTGCAATAGTCTGTGTTCTGCTGGTCTGCAGGACAGTGTCACCCACATGTGAGCCCTGGCTGAGGCAAAATGGCTCTGACCTTGAATTTCTATTTTCACTACATAGACTTTATATAGACTGCAGTGTGTCTTTTGCTATGGAAGAGTCCATTACTCCCAATGGAAGCTTGACAAGGTGCAAGGTTATCAGGGAGAAACCCAAAGAACTTAGAACTAGTGAGGAACATAATAAATCTTAAACAGAGAGTGTATATTTGTGTATATTGGTTTTGGTGGTTTGTGTTATWTATTTTTATTTTGTTCTGTCCATGGAGACAAAATATCCCTGTTTGGCTCTTCAAATATGTTCTGCCTTGTAGGTTTTGTTATTCTTCTTCAGTTTTCTTTAACAGCAAGGATAGCAGCAGTGCTATTTTGCAGAAACAAAGGACTGGTGGTTTTTTTGGGTTAGGACTTCACAAATCACAATATATCTGTATCTTTGTTATTTAACATGGTGGAAAACTTTTGTCTTAAATCTATTGCAAGAATTAGGCTACAGTCTGTTGTTGATGTTTGTCCTACAGTAAKTTTTATTTAGAGGCCTTCTTAAAATGTCTTATAGCAGTCTTCTAGTAGGTCTGGTGTAGGAAATGCATTTGGTAAAAACTGTTCTCCTTCAATTACACATATTTTAATTTTTTTCAAACAAAACACAGAACAATTAAATGCTAGTAGAATTGGATTGTAGTTTGGACTTGGACATTAGTACATACACATGTGAAAATGTATTCAGAATAGTTAACCTTATAAACACCAACAAGTGTTTCGTGATAGCAGGAACAGTCCTAGAAAGTAGAGTCCTTCTTTCTTCTTTTACCTCTAAGTTACCTGAATTTCCCTTCTTACTTCTCTTCCTGTTTTACATAACTGAGTTGGCTACTGCTTCAGGAACTCTTTCAGTTTTATTATTACCTTTGTTTTTTTCTAAGATGATCCTAAGGAGGTGGTATCTGTCATGTCAAGATATCATCCTTTACAGTTGGTWCATTTGAGCTTTCTTCACTCCCTGTGCATCTGGCATTCTGCACCTTTAAGCTTGCTTGCAATACCGTATCATTTTCTATACCAAATTTCAAATAAAACAAAATTTCCTTATACCAACATCCTGAATTTGATTCATTCTCCTGGTGCTGYGTATATACCAAACCAGACATTTTTCAGCCTATCTTGTTTATTGGCAACAAATGACAGCACAACAAAACCACTAAAATTAATACCTTTTGGGAAGGAAGAATGTAGGTGTTTTTGGTCAATGCTTCCTGCTTTTAATGGGCTTTTAAAGGCCAGCTGAAGCTAAGTATATGATTRGCTATAAATCAGTCACTAAGTAATGGTAATTAAGAATGAACAAGTGCAAAACAAAAAGTTGTAACTAGGAAGAATGGAAAGAAACACAGACTGAATGTCAGGAAAAACATCCCGGGAATGACATCTGCTAAACCATGGCACAGCCTTCCCAGGAAAAAGGTGGGATGCCCTTCATTGGAATTGTTTATATTCTGACTGTACAGATTGCCAGGAATTTACTGTACAAAATGGTCTTGTATTGGCCCTGAGGAAATGGACTGAATGACCTAATGAGTTTTTTCTTTCCATTTTTAAGCATTAGGATTTGATGCCACAGTGACTAATCCCTTAAAACAACACAGAGGGAAGCAGTAAACCTGGCCAATTACTCTGCTGCTATAAATGGTGACAAGAAGGCTGGAAAACCTCCCAGATAAAAACAGCAATTGTGTTGTCTTAGCAGCCTTGCAATGAGAGTGGGTGTCAAACTCAGTTGTAACACATAATCACATCATGGAAATGAGCTTTTTCTCAGAGTTATCATGCACCACTGCTTTGTGACAGCTTATCAACAAGCAGGGGAAGCTACAAATAGCATAAAAGGAGGTAATAATAATTAAACAATGGCAAACAGCACAGTAATGCTGATACAGACATGACCAGCACTTGCCCTAGAGAGCTCTGTATCTGTAGTCCTCTGTAGCACTGCTGTGGCTGGTGTGGTAATGGGGTGTTGCTCTGAGTGTTGTTTACTGGGTTATTAGGACCTTCACTGTGTTTGTCCATAGCTTCAAATACTTTGTATATTTTTATTGCTACCAATATGGATCTAATTTGAACAAATAAACTGTCAGGAGAAGTAATTTACACCTTGAAGTCATCAAGTCAAACAACTTTTAATAGGTTAAATAATTTCATTCTTCAAATTAATTTGGGTAGTTTCTCAGAGACTAAGGGTGGAGTTCAACATGAATTTATGGGAATGGAGAGAACCAGTTTTATTTGGTCTCTGTCATCTGCCCAAACTCAGCTTACTAACTGGGAAACGAACATAATAACATGTTGCTTGTTTGCATAATCAGGATCTTGGAGTCTCTGCTCTTCAGACTTGCCCTGAAACTAGCCCAGACCTTTACCAGAGATGTAAGATTCAGTGAATGACTACATGCACTGGGTGCATCTCCACTGAGGGTTTCTCTAGCACTGTTTATTTGTGCCCTGGTAAATGGAATGAGAGACAAGTGAACAGACCTGCTAAACATTCTCTATGCCAGACCTGACCAGTGAGTGCACGATTAGTACAGCCAGGTCTGAGATTATAGCCATAGATGCATCCTCAAAACATTGCAGTGGATTTTCATGACTAAAACTTCTGCTTATGAGCTGCTTGGTTGATCACCTCTGATTTCTTCKGAAACTTCTGTGTTCTCTCTCTGGCTTGCGTGAAAGAAGTTAATTCCAGACTCATTTAAGGCTTCTAGCTATGTAGGACAAGTTATTTTTGGATTTTGGATTTGGATTTTTTTTTGTACAGAACATTTTTCTGACTCCCTTGCTGCCATGTTTCTCTTTCCCTTTGTAAGAATGACACTTGCCATAGTGTATGGAGCCAAATGTTCCCTTCTGAGTCCCTTGAGTTATCTAGTTTTCAGAAGACAGTTATTGAACATCCCAGATGGCTTATTTCAGTAAAGCAGCAGTATTTGAAAACTGAAGAAAACACATTCACTGAAAACTAGCCAGMCCAGGGTATATTTGGAATTTATTGCCCTATTTTCCTCCTGCTGGTTGACTGCGAAGCCTCAGTGTATGATGTTTACATTAGTGTTTGTTAACAACATTTGTCACTCTCTTGAAAGGGATTACAGAGTGAGGCAACCTCAGTGCTGTCAGAGTCCACTGGGCTTTGATTTCTCACTGTTTCCTGGACATGTTTCTAAGTGTTATTCAAGTTATCTTTATTGATGCACAAAAATAGTTTTGAAGGGATGTTTTTAAAACGTGTGTTTTCACAAAATGAAGTTCAGGATGCAGTCCACAATGACTGCAGTAGTGTACTCTGTAGTCTGAGAAGGCTGTTGCTCTCCCCCTGCCCCCACAGCTCCTGTTCTTCTAGAAATGAAAGACAGAATTATGTTAGTTTTCCTTTTGGAGGCTCTGCCTTAATCAGGAACAGCTGCATTGTGAGAAGCTCAAACTGCTTCCTTTGTGTTCTATTATTTATTCTGAAGCCTTATGAAGATATAAAAAAACCCAAAACCAAACAACAAAACAGCAAAGCAAAACAAAACCCCAAATGAAAYRACAAAACAAACAAAGAAAAAAARCCCCTAATGCCTGCAGYAAGCAAACTGTTTTTCAGATCCAAATGTRCAAGAAAACAAGAGGTTAATAAAGTTCTGACACTCTGGCAAGGTTTTGGTATCCTAAGTAGAGCTGATACWTTCTCCTTTTAGTGTTCCTAGTCTTCAGTGATTAAGGGGACTTTTCCCATGTGCGCATTGTGTAATTAGGATATATTAAATATGTAAGAAAGTATGTTTTTTTACTGACAAATGTGATTATGTAGGGTCAATGTTGAAAGAAAAAGTTACACTAATCAAGCATGTTTTGTGTCTAGGTATATTCTTTTATAATGGTCATCCAGTAAGACAGGTAGATGTTGTTGGGATAGTGGTTCAAAGGAAGGAGCGAGATGCCTTTTATAATTATGGAGGTAAGGAAAATTTCTTTCTTTCTTTCTCTTTCTCTCTCTCTCTCTCTCTCTTTCTTTCTTTCTTTCTTTCTCTCTTCCTTTCTCTCTTTCTTTCTCTCTTTCTCTCTTTCTTTCTCTTTCTTTCACTCACCAGCCTTCTATTTTAATTACTGCTAGAACTGAAAGGCTTCCTTATTTGATCATTGTCTATTCTTGAAATGAATGTGCTTTTATCCTAATACAAAGTATATCTGCAGTTGAGATTACTTGGCAAATGTGGGGAAGTCCCTGTTTATCCCCACTTCAAAAATAGAGAATTAAATAGTTAACACAGAATAATTGATTCRTTTGGGGTCATGTAGCAAATCTTAATTTTGGTTGTTGCTTTGTCACTGGTCTCCACCACTTTTGTCTCCTATGTACAGTTCCTTTGGTCAGAAGCAAACGGATATAATGGTGCCCACAAATGGGAAATCACTTCTTCCATATTTGAATCTTAGGAATCCCTTCTGACTTTKAGTATGTCTTGTCATATCTTGGAGCCAACTTCTAATACCTCTCAGGAGCTTATTTAYGTTTAGATGCACCAGAGTCTTAACAAGTTGTCTCCAGCATCATAGTACCAATCCTTGCTGACACCAGCTGGGAGTTGTCTCCTCCCTGTTGCTTTTCCCAGTATTCAATTTTATGAACATGAAAACATCTGATTGTCATTTTGTTCAGCTGTCTTTTACATCTGGAGAAAAAGCAGAGTGGAACAGCAGTGATGTGGCAAGTTTGAAAAGGTGGGGGGAGGTCAACTCACAGTAGGAAGGGGGAGCCAARTGCACAGATCCTGTTGAAGCCCTTATGCCCATTGTCTTCTTCTGCCATGGGTTTTCACCTGGTGGAGGTAAGTCATCGACTGCCTCTCCTTCCCAATTCCCTTGCTTGTAAAATTGAGTCAGCTGCAGTTCCCTGACCTCGGGAGTATTGTGAAGATACAGCTGACGACTTAACCAGGCCCCAGGTTCCCCAGCATCTAACTGCTCCAGRGTGCCATTGACTGCAAATGCATTTATCACTGCACAAGAACAGAGGAAGACAGACTCAAAATGACCAAGACAAAACCAATTCTATGGGTAAGGATTTTCCATGCTGCTTGCAGCATCAGTTTAACAACTAAACCTGTTGAAAATACTTGACTGGGGCAGAAAGTGGAGGAATAGAAATAAAAAGAAACTGCAGAGTAGTGGAATTAAGGCCTTAGTGTTAGATCAGCCAACCTTCAAGTGCAGCTCACAGTGAGCCTGGCTTCCTGCTGTCCTTTCACATCCAACTCCACTCTTTGTTCCAGCAGTTCCTGGTTTGAGTTTTCAGGCTACCTGCCAGGGTGCCCCTCCCCAGCCTGCCCTCCCTTTCAGGCAGGCCGACTCCACCAGCGCAAAATTGTAACTTCTTAGAAGTTTCYTGCTTGTAACTTCTTGCATCTCTCAGTTCAACAGACTTTGGTGAGTCACAGGGATTGCATCAGTTGGAGAGCCGCACACTGCTCAGGACTTGCTCACTTTCTGTCTGCTTAAAAGTGACTTACAAAGCAATTCCCTCTTTATACTTTCCCTCTGATAGGGAACTGTCTTTGTGTCGCTGCAACGATGCCCCCCCACCATTTCCTATCTGCCTGCTTCAGAATACMCATCAGTCACTTTAAAGAATCTTAGGTCTTCTCTGCTGAAAACTGCACAGCCAGAACTGGTGACAAAATCATTTGTGAATTGTAAAAGGAAGAGTGGCTATCCTGACTTAAAAAATAAAAATTACATGCTGTCAAAACCCTGATTTTGGCACTTTGATTTGATTKTTTATTTCTATTATTGCAAGTTAGKAGAAAGATATCTAATTAAAATRTAGCTTTGATCAARCTCRTATTTTASCTAAAGCACCTTTCTGACCTCTTTTTTCCTTTTTTGACAAAACCAAACATCACATGTGTTTTCTTTGTACTCCAAAACTGATTTGAAAGGCTGAAACGCAGTTGTTTTAAAAAAAAAAAAATGACCAGGATCTCAGTAGGTTCATTAAGGCCTGACATTCACTTTTTGTTGTAGTGAAATAAAAGTTAACACAATTATCTCATTGCTTTGAGTTACCCTTCAAATAATTAAGCAAGAGTCAAAGAAACCAAACCCAAACAAACGAAAACCAGGAAAAAACAACAAATTAAAAGTAAATCCACAAAAACCCAAATAAACAAACATTTAAACCCAAAGAGATGAGGAAGGGTGGCACAGAGAGCACAGGAAGTTTTCAAAAGTTTGTAGACCCCTTGAGTGCATTTAAAATAGATTAACATTCTCTTGTCTAATTAGAATACAATTGCAAGGGTTCTCATTCATCTGCACTTCAGGAGTTGCTTGTCCATTTGCTCAAAGTTTTTATCTATATAATTGCAAGACTTTGTTTCAGAACCTTGCTCTGCTACCAGATTCCTTGTGTGGTCAAGTACAGGTCARTCCCTCCAGGACTCTGTTTTTGACAAAGTTACACTGAGGAGGAGGAGTCTGGCCTCCTAATCCTTCAGTCTTGTTTGGTTTGTTTCCAAATCTTTCTTCAGAAGCCTGTCTGTCTCGGTTGGTGCAAGCTGGAACATCTAGAAACTGTGGGAATGCGACAGTGAAATGTCATCTGCCCCGCTTCTCRTTGCCATTGCTGGCTTGCATGAATGGCTTGGCATGGTTTGTGAGGGTTCTGACTCCTACTAAAATAGTTGCTGTCTGTACCAAGGAGAGGAAATCCTACCAGCAGATCRTTATCTGTGCTCTGGTATAAAATTAAAGCTGCTGAAATAGCTGCAGACACAGCARCTCAAAACAGAGATAGCAGAGAGGAACATACTTTTGTGATGGAATTTGGAATTGCCTGCATCTTATACATGCTGTAGGYTTGCTAATAGCAATGTGCATCTAAGCTACTGGGAAACAGGAAGGCAAGACAATGATATGAAATTAGACCCCCCAAACAGGGAGACTGTTTTAAAACACGTGAGACAATGCAAAGGCATTTTGCTTTGATGCTATGGTTTCCAGAGGAAATGGCTGCAGGTACCAATCAGCATCTTCCTGGYAAACATTGCTGTTACTTTTTTAGTCATGGATGTGGTTTAAAGAGCAGAAGAAAATTCCAGGGTTCCGTATGTGAGGAGTGAAATCTCAGTCTTGGAGATGTTCTATTTAAAAAGGAAGGTGCTTGGAGMATTGGCTGGATGATCCTTGACAGATATTTAGTGTCTTTCTATTTAGAGTGTTTGTTTTATGGGCCATCTATGTACTGTCCCTGGATGTATAGAAAATTAATTCTTCTGACAGTTTTTAGTTTCCTTTGAGGTTTGTCTTTTCCTGTTGTCATCGACCAYGCAGTGCCTGGAGCAGAAATCATAAAACTTATTTTTATTGGATACTGGCAAAACAGGAAGAGCAGCTGCTGTGCTCAGGAGAAGGTGTCGAGCCTTTTCGGCAGCGGAAGTGGCATGCATGCCACCAGCACCTACACTTTAAGTTGGGAATTCCTGGCTTAGAGCAGAACCACAAACATGTACTGTCTTCAGTCCTTCCTGCCTAGAGGAGCTGCCTTTCTGCTCCCTGGTCATCATCTTACACTGGGAAAGGCCTCATCATCTTATACTGGGAAAGGCCAGCAGACTCAGAGTGCAATATTAGCATGGAAACCAGTGCAGCTGCAGGTAGCAGCACTCCTGGTTTATTCCCATGGTTGTACTCCCAAAAGTTGAAGTGCTCTTTTCTCACTGTAACAGTAATGCTTCTGTGGTTTTTGCCTGGTTTCCTGTTTTAATTTGTCTGAYTTCAGCCTTCAACACTGATTCATCTCCTGACCTTGTCAACAAGATTGAAACTSCTTATATCCAATCTGTGTGCTGAAGCCTCATAGTCTAAATTAGTGTATGATCTTTCTTTGAGAATACACCTGTTACTTTGCTGACTGTGCACATAAGCACATCTGGTGCTGAGCTACTTCCATGTTTGAAACAACTGTGGAAATTATTTCAGATATGTAAGTAGGGTTTGGATACCCACTTTCCCTTTCAAACCGGTTGGAATGAGATATCCTTGGCAGTTATCTCCCTACATATTTAGGTATCTTCACTTCTAGGAACATGACTACCTGCTTTCCCAGTCTGTAATTCTTGCCATTTTTTTTGCAGTGGATGATAGTACTGGAGTTATAAATTGTGTCTGCTGGAAAAATCCYATGGTAGCAGAAACACCTTTATCAGGTAATTTATCAAATAAATAATTCCTCTTTTGACTATGTTTTTACTTACGTCTGTCTTACATAATTTAGTAAGTGATCAAACTTGCAGAAGAGCAAATTTAACTGTTTTGGGTTTTTTTTTGTTTTTTTTTTTTAATTTCAATCACCACATCATACAGCCTGGRCCATTTTGGGAATTTTCTATTCATTTTTGTGTTGTGTTCAATGATGATGCCAATAAAACCATTACATTATGTCCTGTCCCTGCCTTTTCCTTATTTGAGTAATACGATATTTCAGTTCTGTGCTGTGACATTGTTCAAGAGAACTGGCCTCTTAAAGTTCTGTGACTTCACCTAGTGAGTAACTAGGCTGGAAATGTGCCACAACTTTTGTTTCCAAAGTCAGTCCATTGACCTGCCCTTGTGATAGTGGTTTCAGCATTTATCCTCACCTTGTCTGTATTCATATTCTCCTGCTCAAACAGCCACTGTCAGCAATGAACTTGAAAGTAGCTTCAAACACAGTGGGAGGATGCCAGCCATCTCTTAARTTTGGGGAAGTCCTAAATGTGCAGTAATGGTGCCTTTGAAATTAGTCTATTATTGCACTCAGTAACAGAACAGCTCACTAGTAGTCTGGCTGTCTCTTTTCTTTTTCTCCCACTGTTTCTTGTAGATCAAAGTACAGAATTCTTTGGAATTTGGATCTTCTTGGAAGCCCATGTASTGGATTGACAGTCCTAATATGGAGCTGATTAAATCCTACTAAAATAAATGTTACTAGTGTCATGTGCAGTGCTAGGGATACATATTAATAGAACGGAGAAAGGAAAGCTTGATGTAAAAGTTAAAAACTCTGATGTCTGTGGAACAAGCTCATTTATACAGACAGATAATTCATACTTATATTTAACAATGATATGACAGGTGGTACAAACGGTCCCTACTGGAATGTAGGAGACAGCTCTCACTTTGGAGAGGTGATGATCTGGCACAGCTCTCAAAAAAAGTTTTTGAGGAACTTAAATGCATTAAATGGAATTTTATGAAATAATGAAATACTGCTTGAAATAGAATGAGGCCAAGAATGCTTTTCAGCCTTGTGTTCTTATTTTACGGATATATCAGTAGTGCTTGGATGGACACTATGCTAATAATGGAAATTGATTCATTTGTACCTTCTAAAGAAAGCTCTTAGGGGGCACAGGAAACTTTCTTCCAGCCTTTTATAATTGTGATCAGGGATATTTGGAGCATTAATCAGATTTTAAGTTATGAAGGATTTACTGTCCTGCAAAGCTGTGTTATGTAAATAAGTTGCATTCACCTCAGTGTAGACATCAAATTGCGTCACATGAATGCTTTGACCCCGCCTCAAATGACTCATTCTTCTTTTACATAAAAAAGTTCAGATGACTTTTCTGCTCCCATTCATCTTAGCATGACAAAATCAAAAATGACAAAAACCATTTCAAATTTCTGTTTCAATTTTGCAACCCATTGATGGTATTTTCAGTACTAAATGAGTATCTCCTCCCTTTTAGAATTTGCCCAGGTAAACTATTTAAATAAATATTGTAAACTAACTGTCACTCAGAAATTTTGCTACCCAGGACACATGGTGCCTGGGACCTTGCCCCTTTTTTAGTAATATGACTCTTGTGGTGCTTAGGTGGTTGAATGCAAAAGGACATTAATGCACTGATTTTGATGCTGACTCCCTTTACCTCACTTCTCGCAGGCCATCCAAGCACACCCAGCAGTCTCACTGTGTTTGAACAGATGAAGAAACTCCAAGAAACAGTGAGCCAGAAAACCAAGCTGGAGATTGGGGATATTGTCAGGGTCAGAGGTCACGTCCGAACCTATAGGCAACRAAGAGAAATTCAGGCTTCATGTTACTGTGAGTGTTATGAATCTGTGACATATATAACTAAGATGTCTGAATCTATGAAAATATCTGAGCTGTATGTAATTAATTGGATATTTCCCACTTCATTTTCTGGCATCTCATTTTTCTAAGGATTTTTATCTATATATCTTGATTTCAATTGTAGCAGCATAGAGTTAGAAGACACACAATGTAATGTGTAAGATTAGATTGCCTGTAACTGAGGCATTCCTGGAAAAACTGTAAAAGCCAATTAGCATGCATACAGAGCACTGTGCAGATACTGTCACTGAATATCTGCAAGAGTGATCTGCTCTTCAGATTCCTGTGTGTTGAAGTAGAGCAGCCAAAGCCTGTGGGAAGGGAGCTGGTGACCTTCTGTGTCCACTTCACCAAGGGCGCTGGGGGCTTTTGGAGAAGTGGCTGCTGTTTGTCACAGCCTGTGCAATCCATTCCATGGGCAGGCAGCAGCATATGGGCAGTGTCCACTGAAGCCTGGCTTCTCCTAAGCTCCCTGGCTCTGCAGGGTGAGGGAGAAATGTTCCTCAGGGACAGATCTGCATGCAGATGCTGCCTCTGTGTCTGACAGCTCTTTGGGYAGCAGGGCTCTGCAGCCCACTGCTTCTGCTCTAGGAGCTTCCAGTTACATAACTTCTTCTCAGTTCCGTGTCTGTGCTGTTGTGTAAGAGTTGGTTTTCCCCAGTGACATCTTTCAGAGATAATACTGAAATTATTTCTTTAGTAGGGAAAATCCTGYCTTTTAAAAACCCTGTGTAACTCAGATAAAAAGTCTAGATTTTTCACCTCTAGCTAAAATTTGCAAGGAAGTKCAGCCTTCCTTTCCAGATAGAAGATTTATGATTATACACAACCCATTCATGGGYTGGTAATAATACCAAAGAGAGCCATGCAATTCAAGTGGCCCTCCAGATGRCTTTCACTTTGRCCCAAATAAAGCTCCTTACTATGTRWTARTTTTCAYCTCTAATGGATAAACACTGCTGAAAGGTAAAATAGAGATCATAAATTCTGGTTAAATAAGTTGCCAGACAAAAGCATAATCTGTAATGCACACAACAGGCCATTTTACCGCCTTGTAAACTGTAAAAGAAGGATTGGCTTTGTGGTTTTGTTTTTATAAAACCACAGTGAACAAAATTTGCCAATTTAATACTGGCTCTGAAGCTCTGTTGTGCTGCCTCAGGTTTGCTTGTTAAAAAATTGCATGGCAGTCCTGGCCAACTCTGCATGTTCCTATTGCCCCTCCAGATAAAGTGGATGATCCTGTGTGTGATGTTCAGATTTCAAGAATGCTGGAGCTCCCCTGTCTCTATAGAGAAGTTTATGATAAACCTTTCAAGTGCCCTGAGGAAATACAGAGGTAAATGCAGCATCCAGACTGCTCCTGGGGCAAGGTGTGGGATATTATGATTGTTTTGTAACTCGTTGCAGTAACTGTGGAAAAAAATGGAACAGAGCCTGACTGTGATTCAGACTGCAGAAATATATAGTAGCAATTTGCTTTTCTCCCAAATAATTGATGATCTATGCAGATGAGATACCAGTCCATAGTATGAAGAAAGAAATATAGTGCTGAACCAAAGTGGATATTAGGAACAAAGTAAAATACTGTGTACAGACCTCTTGCATCTAGTGAAAAATAATGGAGTTTTGATAGAGATTTGGGGATGAAGGCTGCAGAGAGGATAGAGAAGTGTCGTTGCCTGATGTTGTTTCATATGTAAGGTTAAGGAGCTGTTCCATTGAAATGCTCTGCTGCCCTTGTCATTGTCATTGTCAAATCACAAATACATAACCCAATAAACTGAGTCAAACACCCACTCCTGTACTCAGTTTCAGGGTAGCTGGATGCTTATTGCGAGGCCTGATGCATGTGGTGTGCAYGCATTTCAGAGACTGCAGATCTTAAAATCACAAAACTGTAACAGCAAATGATTGAAGAAGAACAGTTGAATGTTTATTCATATAAAAATGTTCTGTTTTAATTAAGGATTAAAATTAAAATCCTTCAAGGACAGTAAAGTATCTTTCAACCTTTGAAACCAGTCTAGTGGACTGACTTTATGTAATTGTTCTAAAACCTATTTCTTGCCTTTTGACATGTTCTGTGTATTCTTGTAGTGGCCTGGAGGGTCAGAATTTCTCAATCCGTATGCTGCATGAGAAAGTGCAAGGCTTTCTATTAGAAAACAAAATTCAGACCTTTTACCAGCAGGAGTTAGAGACAGTTGATTCACTGGTGTCTCTGGCTGGTGTGCATCTACCCAGYCCCAGCTGTCAGGAGGTGAGTGAATGCACTTTTTCCAAGTTTTTAGTGGGGGGAAATAATACCATGTACTTTTTTAAGCATRAACAGATAAGAGACTGGTGTCTTCAGAGGATTCAAAAACCACTAGTGCTTTAGCTTTATGCATTAATTATTTACAGAGCTTGAGGAAATCTTGTTACATTAGACATATAAAACTGGGCTGAAGAAAGTCATGTAAGAACATTCTGTTATTAAGGGTAACATTGCATTTGGACTGAGTAATCTTACAGCCTGGAACAGCCACTACTTTATTTAGATTTGTAAATAGTAGCAGTGCCAGAAAAAGAGATCAATTAAAGGTGCATGAGTTCTTTGGGACAGATGTTTGAGATCCTGAATCTGATCAGGAGAAGGGAGCACAAAGTCTTTGTCTTGTTTCTCATTTGAAGCTCAATATATTAATAGAGATACAGCTTTCAAGAGGAGGTTGTGWTGAGTGGATGAACAGTGCTCACTGCTACATGTTTCTCACATTGGAAGTTCCTCATTGTGAAAGGCCATGATTGAAAGGATGAGAAGGTGGGATCAACAGTTTATAGGCAGTTGCATATAACCAAACTATTAAGAAACTTTTCTATGAGTTAGTAACCCATTGATCAGCTGCAGAATGGGAAATAGAACAAAAACTGTTTTGTAAAATGACTTTCTATTACGCAGTATTAGTTGGATAAATTACAATTCAGATTCTCAACTGGTATAAAGTGATAARTTTTTGCAAAACTAGCTGTTACAAGCAATGGCAACTGAAATGTAACCTGGAGTGTTGTGATTCACTTGTTTACTTTTTGGTTTTCTGCAGAGAAATAAATCCCTGGCAGTTATTTTCACTGCCTGATTTTGATGTGCACTGTAATGTTAAGTGCYATGTTATGTTGACTTCTAATGTTTGTTTAATTCTTAAGAAAGCCAAACAAAACAACACAAAAACCATTCCCTCGCAGATGAGGTCAAATAATAATGAAAAGTAGCTCTTTTCTTGTTGGCCTTGTTAAACTGCTGCTGATAGCTTCTTCTTGATARCTGGGTTGGGATTTAGTTTTGGGTTTTTTTTGTTTTTATTTAAGGATTTTCTGGTTTGGTTTATAGCAAACATGGATACTAACACTAACAGGAGCTATTCTTATTTTAGACAGAGAAGTTTGATAGTAGATTATCCAACATGGTACCCGATATACTTTGTATACTAGCTGAAAGAGTATTAAAAATTCCCAAACACTTTACATTGAAGGAAGTAGTGGCCATTGTGTCCAATACTGGAAACTTATAAGTTTCAGCATTTATAGAAAGACCAAGATAAATAATTTACAAAGCCATTTAAAATAGGAGCTGGTRCAGAACATAGGCTGAAAAAAGCCCCAACAAAACTCAACCCAAACAAAACACCAACCAACCAAAAACAACTCAAAAATGCCAAACTAAGAAAAACATTGTATCATCAGTGTTGTTAGCAGTCATGAAGAGCTATCATAATAATTAGTAGTTGCTCCTGACCTTGATGCAAGGGTGTGAGTATATGTCCCAGGAATTTGGGCACACAGATGCTTATTTAGAAATTGCAGTTCTCCCTGTTGTCCTTCAGTGTTCATTTCTTACAAAGAAGGTTATCTGTTYTTGCACAAGGAAGGACTTGCAGTTGTCAAGTGGCATTAATGCCTTACAAGGAGTGCTTCATAATGCTCTGGAAATGCATTTCCTTGTTCCTCTACTCCCTCTCTGGAAGGTGTCACTTTTCATAATTGGCCAAGGGTCAAGTACCCAGTTCAATCCACAAAAAATAAGTGTAATAGATCTGATTTCTGTCCCTCTTCCTTTCTTTTCTCTTCAGTAGTCTTTTGTTTTGCATTGCCCTCGAACCAAGAGGATAAATGGTGTTGCTGATGTGGAACGAGGTTATTTCGGGCCTGTTTGGCAAGGCAGGAGCAACATGAGCGGACCCAGCTACTTAGGCCATGCCACAATATGCACACTTGTTCACTTCTTGCACTTTTCCTGGATGTGAAAAGATGAGTTATTTGGATATATAACTGACTTTTTTTACTCTGATTCCAGTGTTCTAGAGTATAGCTGCTGTTAAACTGTTTCCTTTCTCTTCCTGTCCCTGTGATCCTAGAAGATGTGGTGCACCACTTCATCTCTTTCCCAATTTTTAAAGTACTTACAGAGTGTTCATCATAGTGGGAGGATATCTCTGCATAGAATATTTTCTCCAGGGAGGTGATGAGCTGCTGTGGAGTCACTGGCAGTGAAATGGAGCAGAGGGTGGAGATGGAAGGAGATAGCTGCGGCAGTTTGAGGTAGGCAGCATTTCTGGGTTCCTTTTCAGCATTGCTACGTAGCCGAGCCCTCTCTACATCCCACACATGTCCCACAATACCTAGTTCCAGTCCTGATGTCTCTGTGACAGTGCAGTCCTCTGGCTCTCCAGGATAAATTTCCCTTTAGCAGATACACATGGCAGAACTGAAATAATTTCCTCTTCTCAGACATATACGAGGGAAAATTTAATTTTATAGTCTACAGATGGTGAGTAAGAGAATTTAACTACTTTTAAAAATAGTTAAATATTAACAAATCTTTTACAAGGTTTAAAGCCAGTGGAGTTCTGATTTGCATAACCAGTGGCCCATCTATACCAAAGTTGTAACCGTTTCCCTATCCCTTAAAACAATAGACTTTTGAGGCTGCAGAGGTRGGTGCTGCAAGGAAGAGTACAAATAAAACAAGAAAAAATAATTTTATGCTTAGAGAACCTCCAGAGTGTGCTTGCTGGTCTTAGACAACTAAGTTTGCCAAATTGACAACCCTTTGTTTCCTTCTTTTAAGAAAGCTACATGTGAATTGGATTCATCCCATTTCTCAACTGGTTTAAATACTTTGAACCAGCCAGTCTTGATTAACCATTTTTTTGCCCTTCTGCCATGCATAAGCTCTAGTGTGTGAYATTTTAGTGCTACCATTCCAGTTTGTGAATGTCAGTAGCCTGGACACGTAACCTGAGTTGTGCTTTCCAGAGTGTGCTGTTTGTACTTCTCTTGATTTGCATGTTATCTCAAGGTCAGCAASGACAAGAAGTTAAAGCAGGGAGTTTTACAGTGTTGTTCACACTGTTTGTGTCTACCCCGTACATTGTTCTGTAGGTGTAACACAGTTCATTCTACATTCTTSCTGCAGTGTGCTTGTCTTTCTGCCTCTTGAGGAAGCTTCACTGCTGCTTTAAATATGTATATGCAAAGCTTATTATAGGACTTCAGGACTGACATGTCCAGAACCACTATTACTAAAATTGTCACCTTCCTAAACCCAGGATTAAACATTGCATGAGAAGTTGCAAAGGGTGATTCCATGAGTAGAATCACGTGTGTGGTTATACCAGGAAACTCTAACACCATCAGGGTGTGATTCATGATGAGTCAAAGGTTACATATTTCCAGTGTTCTGAACAGACTCGCTAATTCCTGTACCACTTCATTTCTTTGACCTGTTATTGATTGTACAGAGAATTTGTCTTGTTTGAAAGATCTGAGAATAACTGGTTGCACAGCACCAGCCCATGAGACCTATCGGATGGAATATATTGATTAAAATACCAGCCTGTTGGCTTTGCTACAGAACCCCTGGTTGGTTTTGGGAGTGAGGATAGTGATAGTAAAATTGTTATTTAATAGCTGCTTCTATCTCAAGTTACACACACACACACACAGACACACACACACACACACACACACAAATGTATTTTCCAAAAGAGGTCGCTGATTTTTGAATGCTCCTATGTTTGGATGTACAACTTAATTTATTTGAAAAGGACCTGATTCAGGAGAGAGGGGGAAGCTCCTGCTGTTACTGTTCAGAGATCCTGAAATGGTGCACCCTGAAATTAAGGCCTGCCCAWGGGTGGCATTTTGCAAAAGGAGGTGTGAACATTGTGAGAAGTATTGGGAAGAGGTGCTATTGACTTGTGAACTTGCAGGATGAAATGCTGGAGGGACTTTGGGTGGACCAAAAGAGCAGACTAAGCAATTTTCGACTGTGTTGACAAAGAAGCTTAATTGCTGCTTTGCTAGAGGATGGAGAGGAGGAAGCATGATCTGGAGCACACTAGGAAAAAACCCTAAATTTTCCCTCTCATTTCATGATAACATTAAACCTCAATAATATGGTATTATATTACTATGTTAATGTATAATATGGTATTATTCAAGTGGGCCAGAGTTTTAATTTGTTTTTCAGAAGCAGTCCTGCCACGGAGCCTTTTTCCATGGATTCTGCAGCACATATGAGAGAGTGCTGATATGTAGCAGCTGCTTACTTATAATAAGGCCTCGCTGCTTTCACTCTGTCAATGCCTTGACTTGCATTCTTAGTGATTCTGTTTCAGTATCCATCCAGGCTGAGCTCTGTGTCAGTTCACACAGAGTCTGTTTTTAATTATCTCCCTTTTCTGACAGGATTTCAGTGGTAAGCCAAACTGAATAATTACTGTGCTTCATTGGAAATATTTTTATCTTTTTTTTCTCCCCAAATGTTTGCTTTCACATTAAAAATTGATCAGAGTCTCGAGTTGGTTGCTTTGCTAGCAATTTCTTACATTCTTGAGGATTTATTACTGCATTTGAGTGAGAGGCAGTCTCTCCATTTTACATATGGCTATAAGAATGTGCTTTGCCATGAGCAAATATTCACTCCTCACTTAATCCTTCCTGCTACATTTCATGTTTGTTTCTTCCGTTCATCAGAGGAGACACAATGAAGAGAAATACCATAGTGGTATTAATGCTGTGACTGGAAACGTGTCCAGATGTGTGGCCAAGTTTGTAATTAGGAGTGGAGTCTGTTGTTATCCAGATTGATGGCTGTGCTGGACAGGAGGACACACAAGGTTCAGGCACTGAATCCTTCAGTCTGAAACAGAGAAAACTGAATGAGCCATTATTCTGTGTTAATTACCTTGAAGTATTACACAATTATTTTTTACTGGTGATTTGAGAGGAAAAAGAGAGTTGGCTGTTGTGGGACAGAGAGATGTGATTATGGCCTGTTGAAATACTGAGAGTTAGCTGGAGGAACAGGATGGAAAARCATGCGATGCATGCTAACATCACTATCCCTTTAGGATCCCTGAACTATTCCCAGTTAGGTACATCRCCTTCCAGGTTGCTGGAGTGTCACTTGAGAATTGCAAATCGTTTGAGTGAAAGTTTTGTGAAAGGATATTCTTCCTTTGGTGTCCATTTTGGATATTCATGTAAATTTTTAGTGCATGGTGGTTACCTTTTTCACTCCTAAGGCTTCTGAGCTGCTTCTGATGAGTGAAATAGGATATGTGAAGTCTGATCCTTCTGTTCAGAACAGGGTGGGAGCATTTATGGGGATAGTTGAAGGAATGGCTTGGCAAATCTTGATTTGGTTGCTCTCATGTGGTTCTAGTTATCACATGTTGGTTTGTGGGAAGCAGTTTAGCACTCTTCTCAAAGAAAACCACAGGGAGGACAGTGTGCTCCCAGCAGATGAGAAAACAGCAGTTGTGGAACTGAAACAGTCTGTGTAGATAAATGGAAAGTTGAAGGACACAGTAGGACAGATGGAGATGGAGAAGAATAAATAATAGTTTTGCTCTTATCTACCCATACTTTCCCCKCTCCACAACTAATTATTTCCTTCTACTTCCCTAGCTGTCATTCCACTGTCTTAGCTCTACTCTACTTCCAAACAAATACTGCTTTTCCCTGGAGTTTTTTCCTCTCCCTCCCTGTTATATATGTMCCAAATATGGAATCCTGTATTCTAAATAACCTCAGTAATGGACCTCAAACACATTKTTCTCCTTTTACAAGAAATTAATTTCCTACCTACCTTCAAAACTGAATTCATGTTAGGGAGGACCTGAAGTTCTCTTCCTCTTGAAAGCCTCTGCAGCCTCTCGTAACTTTAGTTGAGCTGAGATTTCTCACCATCTGCTTCATTCCTTTCTTCCCATCCAGGTGAAGTCAAAAAGTAACTCCAATTCCAAAAGGATACACAGTGTTTTTAAGGAAGCAATAAAGATGCTACAAGAAAAAGGAGTGGTTTTCCAGAAACCTGGTAGCTCCAAGGACTTATACCATGTAAGGAACTGAGCTGTGCTTGCAAACAAGTTCAGTGGTACAACTTTCATGATCAGTAAAAACAGTAAAAATATTGCAGAAATAGTAGAAATGTTTCAGAAAGAAGCTGAACATGTAAGTGCTGTCAGTTTACTCAGAAGTCTTGTCTGCAGCTTACTTCACTGTTGGTTTTACCTCTGTATTGTCCACTGAGTTATTCCGAGTTCTGTCTGTATTCACTGGGCTGCCAAACTGCTCTGATACAGCTGAGCTCACTGAAACCTGGGGCCTGGGACAGGTCTCCTTATTGGAATTCAATAAGGATTCAAGCTTGGTGTTCTACTGGGTCAGTCACTCTTCTTTGGGTCAAACTCTSTTCTATCATGTTCTTCACCTAACTCTTGGAAGCTGCTAATAGTYCTAAAATAATGACTGAAGATTTGACATTCATTATTAGTCTTGGAGGCAGTATGAAATGCAGTGTAGTTATGACAGTGTTACCTCAGAATACACCATGGCAYTGGATTGTTTTTCGACAGCAAGGCCAGTTTCTTCTTTTTTCTTCAGGTGACTGACCATGATAAGGAGCTGTTTAAAGTGACCCTTGATGTGATTAGAGAAGACTGTCGAAAACCCAGGCGTAAGTAGCAGAGTGATCAAGCTCTGATGAGCTGGTGCTGATATACTGATGACAATATTTCCTGCTGCTTGTCCTTACCCTTGAACTSGATCTGTTGCTGGTGTGGCTAATCAGTATAACTGAAAGCAGGACTGCAGAAGCAGCTTCTTGTGAGCATGGAGAGAGAAAGCAAGTGTGCCCAGCAGGAAGCAAAATTCTCCCACCTGAAATAAGCARCCATTATCTTAGATCTGTATCTTTTGAGAATACCTGGATTTTGGGAGGAACCAAATGTAATGAAGTCAGGTCACCACCTAGCAGTTGTTGCTTTGCACTCTGGGGAAGTAGCAAATCTTGCTGGTTCAGTTTCTGCAGGGGAGTTGACACAAAAGTGACCGTGCAGAAAGGTGAAATCCCTGCCTCCTTTAAGTCAACAATAAAACTTGCTTGAGTCAGTATGTTATTCTGTGTAGATTTCGAGTTCAGGTAGAGCTSAAGTGTTTTTTCTTTGTGGTTAATGATTTCAGTCGAACAAAGGCTACTTCTTTTGAGATAATATGCCTTGGGTGGCTTCTGAGTTATCCCTGTCCCTCAAACCTATTGTGTCTTATTGCCATAGTGATAGCTTGTGCTTGATTTGAATGATACCTTGCTACAGTGTGTCTTTCAATTCACTGGGCAGAATCGTCAGCAGGGATCTCTTGCTGCTGGAGTGCAGCTGTTTGTGGGGTACAATGTCCTTTGGTACAGAATAAATGACGGACAGGAGCATATGGCATAAAATCTTAAATTGCTTATATCCCCATACTATCATAACTACAATAGCACTTGTAGGGCCTGGTTATCCTGCAGTGAAAAAGGTGAGGTAATACCAGGTTTACCTGTCTGTCTTAAGAAGTGGTACAATGGTAGACAAGGTCTTGGGAGATGGAGCGAGAAGAGGTTACTGAGTGTGCAGGTTAAGATGGGTTTGTTTGCCTGAGGCTGTTTCAGTGCAACAAATTATTGTATCATGTTGTTTTATTGTCTTTTATTCAATTAACAACTACAAACATCATCTAAGAGTCCAATCATTCTTTTGCCCATTTTATACATCAGCTAGTTCTCCTGGTAACCTGCTTTTTTATATAACTGGGCCACTMTCAAGGCCAAAACCTCAATACAGTTGACTGAGGCACTGAGTGACTGCCTCATGTTTGTTCCCCTCTTGTGCATTGTCACACCAGTACAATACTCCRTGATCCATGAGAGGTTGGGAAGTTCTTTCAGTCAGGAAAAGTCAACAGCAGAGACTAATTTGTGGATCAAAGACTTTGAAGAGTTCTGACTCCTCAAAGCCACATTTTCCATACTAAGCACCTTAAAATTAGCAACTGTTTTACAAACCCTCTTGTCCTCCCTGAAGCTTTCCCCCCACTTAGTTTCCTGYTGTAAAGAGGACAGTTTCCAGGTCAGTGTCGCTTTGCTGGTTTCCAGAAGGACCATTTCAATGTCCTGGTCATTGGTAGTAGCAGCAAAGCCAAGAAGCTTCAATCGAAACCACCAGGGCCCGGCGGGTATTTGTTGTCAGCRGATGATGAAAGAGCACAGAGCTCAGTGCGGCTGCCGGTCCCCCTCTGCTGGCGGGAGCGCGGTCCCAGCCGCCCGCAYGGCTCCCGGGGAGAAAACAACGACATGGGCATTCATCTCTAAGGCTTTTGCTTGTTTGTTGCAAGAAATTCCTACCCGTTTTCRTTCAAGAGTAATAGTAATCCTCCATGACAAGAAGGCTGATTTATGATAAATCAAATTCTTCTCTCCAATGAGTTATTTCTCTGCCAGTTTTCCGGCAACGCCTTGCCCCTTTGCTGTAGTTGTGACACATTCCCAGGCCCAACCCATCTGTCTGAAACTATTGTACAAATTTAAAAAAAAATCTTCACTGTGCCTACGCAGAGCTGCACAAGCACTGATCTGTACTGTGCCTCCATGACAAGCCTAGTCCTTGGTCCCACTTATAGTTCCTGATCTTAAATGCACTCATGAGAAACCACTGTGGGTCCATCTAGAAGCTTAAGATATCCAGAGAGCATATCTTGACTCCAGACTGGACTGCAAAATGGATTTGGGTTTTAGTTTGTTTATTTCTTTCTTTGTTTTATAAATTTGGTCTGGTTTTAAGCTTAGATCAGGCTAATAGTAGGACAAAAAYCAGAACCACTTGAAGTTAAATTTAATATGTCAGAATGTACCCCGTGTGAGGTGTCTGCAGTGGGCAAATGGTGATTGTTCTGTAACTCTGTCCCCTCTGATGTTKGTTGTCAGGCAGGACAGTTAATCACAGCCTGGCTTCCCTGCTGGACAAAAGCAAGAACCCAGGATGTCAGTGAAAGAGGGACCAGGAGTGTTTTGGGGTTACCTAATCATTGTACAGTCTTGCAGCTATCCCAAAATCCCATTTTCTACCAGCATCTGGGGAAAAGTACACTTTGTACTGTTAGGTAACACTTGAGTCATTAATGTAAATAATTGAGACTTAAATTAATCTAGCTCAGGGATGGGCAATTTGACCTTCTTATGACAAACGTATGACAAATGCAAAGTGCAGCTACCCATTTTGTTTCTAACAACAGTCAGTGTGACCAGGTGGAAGCATTGTTCTGTTCTCTGCACTTATATCCCCCAGGCTGATGGACACATTTTTGGCTATCAGCCACAAAGCTACTTTTTATCACGCTGGATATTTCTGAAGAAGTATTTCTGCCTGATTCACAACCTAATCAGAATTAGGCTGAACTGTTTATTTACTCCTATCTGCCAGTGACTTCAGCAGATTCTAAGGCAGCTCTGGGGCACAGCAGATTCTGCAGTAGAGAATAACTAAAAAAAAACAAAGGCAACAGCAACAAAATATAGAGCCCTCCCTGGCCCGTTGCAGTTTCTCTGTACCCTTACCAATCTTACCTTGGATCACATGATCTAAGGAGAGGGAAAATAATTCATTTGTTCTGATGTTTCTCATTTATGCCTGCTTTCCATTGATAGCCACTGAGGAGCACTCAGCACTCAGAGGGACTGGGAGCTTGCAGCACTGATGGTTGGGGGGTTACAGGGTCCGTTGGAGGAAATGATGACTGGGACAGCTTCAAAGGATGGCTCTRCCTGGCACAGAGTAGCTGCATGAAGCCTTGAGGGACCTCTGTGCTTGCCCCTACCAAAGAGGGTTATTTTAAACTTCTGTTCTCTTGTACATTGCAGGGCTAATTCCCCTTAAATGGAGATAAAATTTGATACTGAAGTTCCGTGATTTTCCACTCCTGTAATTTTCTGAGTAGTCTGAAGGGCAGGGATGGGATCGCATTGTGAGGTGAATGCAGTTGCAGTGCAGCAGTTTTTCCACAAGATGCCAGCGTTGGGCCAGCGGTGACAGACGGGGGCCATGCACTTTCCTGCTGTGCCAGTGGGTTGGGAAGTTGGGACGGGTCTCGGAAAAATGATTTTCATTTGGTTCCTTCTGAAGTTGCAAAAACTGGATGGTTTGCATGAGTGGACAGTGCCTTACATTTTTAACGTCCTCATCAAGTTGTGCTGAATGATCCTTGTATGTTAAGAGTTGGGAAGACTGGGTTATCTTTCACCCTCATTACTACTGTTAGAGCCCTGACACTTCCCAGAAAAGTCACTGGGAACAGTTTATAATTGGAGAACTGTAGGCACAGACAGGATCTCCTTTGTCTGAATACACACACCTCTGCTTTAGTATCTAGGACTCTGGGTTTTCATGACTGATCTGTATTATGATAGTTCCAAAGAGACAGACTGAAATCTTTTTCCATGCCTGCATTTTCCTCTTTTTCCTCAGATGCTGAAAAAGGCTGCCATTTCCTTCATGTCCTGACTTGTGTTCGGCAGAGCTACATCCCTTCTCTGGCTGAAGTGGTGATGCACCGTGTCTTGGAACTACTGGAGAGTAACAGTGATGTTGTCAGCACTATGGAAGGTTGTTATATGGTATTTTGAAGAGAAAAGATAAGGAGGAGAGGTTGAGAGACTCTGAGAAGCTGTCATTAGCTGGTATGATCTAGATAGGGGATAAAAAAAAGTCTTCCAATTCTCCAAATGCTGTTTTTGTCCAGCTTCAAATAAGTTGTTGAAATGTTTGTTTTAATATTCTTGATGACTTCCTTGATATTCCTAGTGAAAGTTGTATCAAAATGATTCTGGRCATTCTAATGGAGCAGGGGAACTGGAAAAGAAACTGGGCTCTTTTCTTGGAGTAGGATGAGAAATTGGCCATCCTCACATCTGCATCCAGTGGGCCTAAAGAAGTCACTGCTAAGGTGCACTGTTTACCGCACTGGTCATCTCAGGAAATAATTGTCTGGCTTAAAGACTGATCTTGTGAGCTTTCATATGGTAATAGCTGTGGGTCCTTTTATGTGAACTTCATAACACCTAGAGAAAGGACACAGAAACAGAAGAATTTGCCTGTCCCTCCTGGCAGTGCCAGTGCACCTTTGTTTGTAAATATGTATTCCTCAGTCTGGACAGCTTTCCCATTACTAGAGCAGTCYTCACCTTTCTCTGGAGAGTAAAGTTCAGGATTGGGGTCCTGCATCYCCTCCCCATCCTGGAGCCTTGCCCACTGGTTGTCAAGCATGTCTGCATTCCTCTGCATTCCCATCTGTGTTGCTGATGCCTGTTGTGGATTCTCTTCAGACCCAAATTCTCAAAATCAGCCACCATTTTGCTGTTTCAGTTGCTTCCTACATCACAAATGGTAAAACATAAATTAGATGCTTTGGAAAAGAAAATACAGAAGCCATTGAGACCCACTGCAATCTCCTCTGCCTGTTGCCTTTTATGTCTTTTATTTGTCACTTTTGTGGTAAAATACTACCCATATCTGTGCTTGCAGAGGAACACAAGACAGATGAAACAACACTGGCCTAAAGAAGGTTCCCATGCAAGATGTTTGATCTGAAATAATTACAGCTCTGTTATGTGCAACAGCTAAAAAGCAGAGTTGTTCAATATTTATCCTTAGAGAGGGCTCGCTGCTGCAGGGGCTTGTCTGTTTAATTAATCTGTTTAATTTATGGTGTGGAGGTGAGACCTTTAACTTGAAAAGAGTACAAAAGATTGAATTTATCTTTCTTTCCTCTGCACCTTCCCTGTAACAGTTGAAATAGCAGCCTCCCAGGAGGCAGCTGTAGTGGTAAAGCCCTATAAGGATTGACATAGCAGGGAAAAATAAACCATATGCATGAGGAAAGCCAGTGAGTAGCCCCATGTGTGCCAGCTCTCTGGTTTGTTATATTATGTGCCTCACTCCAAGCCCTGGCTGCAGTGAGATATAGGCTAAGAGAAAGGCATGACAAAATATTTGGCATTTGCATTCAGAGGCCTGTGGAAAACTCTGGCCTTAAAGAGATGGTAAGTTTGTGCGTAGTAGAAAACTATGTATGAATCATTCATGTGCTGTATATTCCCTACTTGCTGCAGGACTCAGGAGTTGGTTTCCTTACAGATTTCCCTACTCYTCACATTGCTGCTCTGCTCTGAGTCAGGCACCTTCCAGTCAGATCTTAACATGGGCCCTGAACAGGTGCTGAAGGGATGTATTTGTGCAGAAGGAAATAGAGGAGGATTAAGGAAGAGTTGTAAAGTGTTTGTTCCCCACTCCCTCCCCACACACTGAATATCTCTGTAAATCAGGGAAAGAAGGCAGATTCTGAATGAAGTGGTACTGAGGGGAATTGAAACTTTATGCCTAGGAGAAGATCTGGTTGCCCACCGGGGAGATGTGCTTTTTAAATTCCTCCTCTGATTATTGACAGTTTGAAATGATGCTTAGAAAGAAAGGCTATCTATGGAAGAAGTAGCTTGGAATATTGATTTCTAAATTCACATTCACTTCAGGAATTGCCCACAATCARGCAGGACAYACWGTTAAGTTGCTTATTTGGCATGAGTTTGAGGATATCTTGAAAGTAAGAGGTGTTTCAGACCATGTGGAAGAGCATAGCATCTTATTTAAGAGACTGGCTTGGCCATTTTCTTGAAATGTTCYATGTTAACAGAAGCTCATTGTGCTGGCAAAGGGTTAAAGGAACACTGCTAGCTCAGTGGGAAAGGTGATCTCCTCTCCTAAGTAAGAAGAAAGACCCTGGTTCTCCTGAGGATGTCAGCCGAGTGTGTGGGCTGGATGAGTTCTGGGAGGAAAAGAGTGTTTGGCGATCATGTTTCTCTTGAGGATCTCTTTAAAATAAATTCATACGAAAATAGGATTACATCTTTGTGCTTTGCAGTTTGCGTAGTCACACATGCGACTTCTGTTGCCTCCAACTTTGAGGCTGCACTTCCTGTGTTTTAGATGTGTTTCTTTCTGTAAAGTTTGCCTAAAATCCCTGTCCACTGCTTTTCTATGCTTAGAGGTAAAAAGGGCAGACACTTGTGTCTGCATCAGTCATGCCCCTGTTGTAGTTCAAAAGTACTGAACAACTGCAAAGTCTTGAAAATGAGGTGGAAGGAACTTACCTGAGGGAACACAGGTAAGTTATTCTGGAAAGAACCTGTCCTTGGAAGTTTTTAAGTTGATCCTTGCTAGGAGTGCTTCACTCTTGCAATGGAGGGTKTGTTCTGATGGTGTTTGCTCCCCAAGAACAGGAAAAAGGGATTTTTCTCAGATGAGTTGTCTCAGGGAAATAAGATGAATAAACAGAAGAGTGCCTACAGTTTTACAAGAGTGAAAGGTTAAGCTAAAGTTAAGGATCTAGGAGGAACCTAGATTTAAGTTAGGTTCCTTAAGTTAGTTAAGTACACAGATTCTGACTATCTATAATAGTTGTGCCTTAATCTTGCATGCTTTCATTTTTCCACAGGACCCACCCAGGTTAACACTTAYTTTGGTTGAGAGCATTCCCTCTTGCACCTACAGGGAATTCCACATGCATGTGCCTGCACAGCAGTGCCCTGAGGAGCTGTGGGAGCACAGAGCTCACTGTAGGCTGATTTACCCATTCACTCAGTATCTCTACAGTGTGCTTCTGTGACAGCAGTCTAGACATACCCATGTTGGTATAAGTCACCTTTATGTAAGTCTAACTACACACACTAGGGCTTTTACTGCAAGTAAACTGTCTCTCTGTTTAAAGATCATATCCTTAACCAACRGAGTCATATCATGCACACTGTTAAAATTCTTAGACCACACCTACAAAATATTGTGCAGAGCATTCCATGAAAGCATGCTTTCTTGTTTTGTTTAATTTGAAAACTCGTTAGGCAACACAATTATTACTGGTTTRTTAAAGGTCTTGGAAGGTGGTACTTTAATGTAAAACTGACAAGTGAGAATTCATGTTGTAGGACTGCTTCATGGCTGGTTCCAGTTTCCGTAGCAACAGTTACAGCAGTAAAAGGTAGGTAAGGAAAACGGAATTTTTCAAAGCAGTCAGCATTTCTGTGCTACCTTAAGAAGGTAAGTTTCCGTAGAAATGCAGCACCTGAGAATACCTAAGAATCTCAGTATTATATTCCAACAAAATGCAAGGTGATTGCTTTTCTAGTGAGGAGACAAAGGAACAGCTTTACCTTCAGTCCCTGCCCTATGCTTACCTGAGAAATGAGGTTGCTTTGTGCCTCAGTTTCCCCCTTTTGTAAATGGGGGGTAATACAGTTCCCTGTGTAGGGCATAAGCTTCTATTTTCTTGTAATCCTAGTCATTAAAAGCTTTATGGGAGCTATTAGAGAAGAACTCAGTGGCTGTCTGGGAGAGAGTGAATGGATAAATGCTGGAGTGGGACTTAGAAAATGTTGCTCTTGTATTAGTACTAATAGCTTTATATTTTTCTGYCTCTCCTTCCATGCATATTGCTTTGCTTGTTTTGTCATCTTGCTCTCCAAGACCTATGGGGCAATGATGGTCTCCRTGCTTTTATTTGCACCATATTTTTCCTGGAGTCCCATTTTCTCTTACGACTTCTTAGATGACTTCATAAAAATAGAAATCCAGATAAATGAGTCCTGACTATTCTTGTTCTGAAATCATYGGATTGTAAATTTGGACCCATGAGAGCATGCATTTTACACAACCTACCTGGGAAATGCAGCTTTACTTTCAAAGTAATAAATGACAAAGTTAAATATTGGCTACATATCTAAAAGCTATTACTGTTGTGGATCTATGTATACTTGTGTATTCCAGTGATGAACACCATAAATAGCTGCAAATTCATTACTCAAAGTGGGAATGAGCAGCCAGTGAGGCATGGAGCCACATGGAGAATTACAAGACAAAGTACTGGAAATCTGTTTGTCAAAGAAATGCAGTTTGGTTTACTTTGAGAGTAAGCTGATCCKGTGGGGAAAAGATGTGCCTAGCAAAGATTTGTATCTTTATACTTACCTCTAAATGGGAAGGGAGCAAGTTCAGATCCCATGGGCACCCTGAATTTTGAAACTTCCTGTCAGTGCAGCGCTGTGTTCTTTATTGCTGTCTTTCAGCACAGTCTCCAGTCCTCCTGCACCAATCCTCCAGACTAAAGCAAAAAAAAAAAATGTTCAGCCACAAAGATAAAAGAATAGTTTTAATAATTGGTTACCATCCTCGAGGAGTTGCAGTATCACAGCAACATTTTTGTGGATCCTTGTGGGCAGCAGGGAAATGCTGAGCCAGGGATCTTGGGTTTCATTCCCAGCAATGTACCCTTCCAGGCACAGAGACTTTCCCCCTAATTTCTTTCATCTATTCCTGAACTCCACTCTCCCCTCTGACAAGTTTGTCAGGCCCTTCATTTCATTCACAGTCACAGATCCTGTCAAACCCCCTTCCTCTATTTTGTTCCCTTTATCTTTCCTAACTCAAATATCCTTGTCAACATCTGGCAATTGAAACTTTCAGAGTAAYCCCCTTGCCTAACTGACCTGGCACTGTTCACAGCCTGTTCTGATTCCAGCAGGCTGTCCTTTGCTCCTTGTCTAGGCACCACAAGAGGCAGCTTTCTTCCCCCTGCAGTTTGCAGCAGAAAAGAGCTGCAGCTTCAGAAAAACTTTTTCCACCCCACCCTCCCATCATTTCAGTAGCACCCTAAAAGATTCTAGTGTTGGGTTTTTTGCAGGTATCCAAGTACAAAATAAATATAATTAAAAATAAAGTATTTGTATCTTGCCCAAACCTGAGTAAGCASAAGACACACCCCTGATAGAAGCTATCTGCCTCTCCCTGTCATATTCATGTCCTTGCAGATCTCATTGCAGACACGATCTGTAAAGATGATGTGGACTTCTAGCTTGTGTACCTACACTTAGTATGTCTCCTTTTAGCCTGTCTTTTTCTGAGAAAGTGTGGTTCTGATGTGATTATACTGTGTGTCTGGGCATTTGGCAAATTCTGTCCCATCACCCCAAGTAACTTTGGCTAGTTAAGAAGTGTGAAGGACCCTGAGCTGTTATGGTCTGGCACATTCTTAGGAAATGGATGCACTGATAGAAGAGGGAAGCCCAAATCAGTGCCTCCATCAAAAGGGAGAAAGAAAATCAYACAACATCAGAAAAAACCACACACAGGACAGTCCCAAGGAACCTGTTCCTGTAACTTAAACTGCCACAAGAAGTAATTGTTCTGCAAGTGCTCTTTGAAGAAATGACTGGACAGTTTTTCCAGAAGCTTCTTTATAGCGATTGCCTCAAGACAGTCATGATGGCAAACTGCAAATCCATTAAAATCTGGTAAAGCTGTATTGGAGTACAAAGTTGAGCAACTGATAATGATGCCACCAGCCCATTCCCACTAATATCTTTTAAATGTGCAATGGAGACTACACTAATCTAGTCACAGTAATTTRCAAGTTGAAACCTGCCCAGATTAACAAGATTGCCTGAGAATAACATACCCAGGAATTTGCCAGTGAAAGAARTAACCTAAAGGAACGATTTTCAGTAAGTGTTGAACTACAGAGCAGTGCAGTGCCAATTAACCTGGCACAACATGTCCTACAGCTCTTGTTTTAGCTTGCTTTTTTATTATTCACTGGAAGAATGCACACTCCTTCCCTATCAGCTCAAACTGGAGCTCTCTGCCACCTTCACACCTCTCTGCTGGGAACAAGGTAAGATAAATAGCAAATGTATGTCACKGTCTAGCAACCAATATGATTTAATGCAGAATGTGCCAAGTCTCTTATTGGCCTGGAAAGTTCATGGTTCCTCCCATGAGTGGAGACTTCAGCCAAACATTACAGTGATATGTGGAAATAGGAGGGAGGAATCTGTTCCCCCAAATGTCTTCCCCAGCAATGGAGTCATGTAAGTCCTGCAGGCCTACCTGATTCTAAYATCTGCTCTTCTTGGCAAGGTACCAAGGTGGTACAGAAATGCAAGGGTGATTGGGACTGGTTTTTTTCTTGTTGACAATATTGGTCATTTGCATTGAGAGTGTCCATGTGTAACTTGTGTTCATGTAAAACTCTTCTTTGCTTTATTGTCCACAAAAAACCCTCTGAGCTGTAACAAGCCAGCTGGTGTTCTGAACTACTGCCTGCATTGCTGACTAATACTCATTGTTTTCTGTCCTCACCTTCCCTTTTTTTTTCCCCARTAAAATCTCTTGAACTTAATACCTGGTTCAAAGCAGTTATGGTCTCTGTCCTGTGAGCACAGTGATCCAGGACAAACACAACAAGAGCAAACTGATACAGAGAGTTTTTGTTGGAACTCTGAAAGTAGGAAAGGATGAAAAATACAGAGGAAGATGAAGGAGGAGGATTTAGCACAAAGGTGTTTGAAATGAGTCCTACTGAAAAAGGCTAAAGAAATAATTGCSTAATGATGCTGTAGACATCTGTTTCAGAACAGGGAGCAGGTGTTGCATGTAATGAAAGCAAGGATTTGTACTGTTTTATTTTCTGCAATTAGAAAGCAGGCAAGGAAATGAGGTCAGAAAAAAAATGGAGTAAGAGAACATTTAGCATAAACAGCTGGACAAATTTACATAGAGTACAGCAGTATTTATATGCTCTTCCTCTGTCTTCCTTACACTATTCTTCAACAGTTCTGTTCCGCAGAATATTTTGTCCTTCCTAAAATCCCAATGCCGTGGGTRCTCAAAGTTAGATGCTAAAGTGAAAGTTGGCCAGCATGCCTTTGAGGACCAAAATGYTCAGGATGATGTAATTTTCACTTCCCCAGATGCTGTCATGAACTGATGGAAATCATCCTGAAGGTAAAGCTGCCCTTGTCTCACAGGCGGTTTTGTGTGCCTSAGTCACCAGAAAAGCGGTTGAGAAAGAGCCCATTAGTGAAACGGTTCTTTASGTTTGCATGCCTGGTGCTGCATGGCCAGAGCTTAACACATGTCTAGAATCAAAAAAATGCCTGCTCCAAGCTGAAAAGCACACCTGCATCAGGCCCTGCTAGAGAAACTGTAACTTCATTTTCCGTGGGGCATTTTTTGGTTTTGGATGATCTCATTTCTTGTTCCAAGCAGTTAACATCCTACAGGGCATTTTATTTTTCAAGCATCTCCACTACTRCCCTACAAGTCTAACCCCAGTCTAATGACTGGGGAAGAAACCCAAACTGTTTGTGTCTGCCCATGGGATGATGTTATTGTTGAGGAGGTCCAAAAGTGCTCTTCCTACGGAAGTCTCTCAGGAAAATCACTTTGCTTTTGTATGAAAGTAACAGAACCAAACAAAACAAAAAATCAATGAACTCCACTGCTGAGTGGTAGAGGTTGGATGTTACAGATTCTCATTACAGTGCTAAGTTTGTCTGTTCATCACCTATGCTCAAACTGCAGTTCCACAAGTAACTTTTCACAAGGTTTTGTTTGTACATTTTTATAGTTCAGTCTGTCAGTCAAATGTTTTCTGGTTTGCATATTGGCAGATAAATTCTTCTCTTTCTCCAGGGACTGTGCAGCCAAATAAAATTACTGTTTGGTTTCAGAAGTAGTTGAATAAGTAAAAATAGTGAACAAGGAAATAAAAATTTTAAAAAGGGTTGGTGGCAATTTTAAATCTTGATGTCCAGATATGTATACATAGAGGTAACATGGGAAGAAAATGCAAAGAAAGACTATCTCTTCCTAGATTGACTTTATTTTAACAAGCCCATGTTTTCAATTGTGGATTACCATGGTTCTTTGCAGAGGATAAGGCAGAAACCAGTCTCAAAATGTGCTTTTTTGAGAACAGTGAGAGTGACTGAAATCAGGGATTGTGTCCAGGAAGAAACCTGAGGAATCCCAATCCAAACTTGTGATCAGTTTGGTAAACTTCAACTGTCGCAAATGTAAGCATGACACATATATCATAAACAATGATGTGGCTTGAGCTTGCTTTATTTTTTTAAGCACTTCAGAGATATCTATAAAGCCTCTGTAAAATGGAAAAATACAAGGTGTACATGGATGAAAAGCAGTGTGCTGTGTGCTGCTACCACCCTAAACGGTGTGCAGGGCACAAACCACTGTGGGAAATCCTTCATCCTCAACTGCTAAGAGAGGRCTGAAAAGTAATGTTAGTCATGAAAGAGTTAAGCTGTAAGATAGCTGCTTCAAGAAAAGGATAATCTATAATTTAAGTCCAGAGGGTGAAGCAGCTCTTTCATAATGTAAGTAAAAGCTGTTATGCCGTTGGAAAAGCATGTGCACTGCCTGCAGAAGGAATGGTTATTTTGGTTTTTCCATTATATGAGATTGCACAGAGGGGCTGACAAAGAAGCACTCTCTGGTGAGCAGACTGGGAGGGGAAGGGGCACAACGATACTGTGCTGGAGGAGGGGGAAGTTGCTCTGCCAGCACTGCTGCTGGTTCCTTCAGCTGCCTTCTACCATACTAACTGGGCCTATTTATCTCCAGAGTGAATTTCACTTGAAGAGCAGTGATCTCCCAAGAAGATGAAAAGCAATCTGGTTGGTTTTTTTTTTTTAAAAAAAAAAAAAAAAAAAAAAAGAAAATAATATATAGAAAAAAAAAAAAAAAAAAAAAAAAAAAAAGAAAATAAAAAAAGATCACACCGTGCTTTGTTTCAGAGTTAGAGATTTGAATGCCAGACAGGCTCTCCCATTCCTGTCATTCCTATCAAAAGCTGTATATGTTGAAATGCTGAAGTGGAAGGGCTGCATGGAAAGCAGCCTYTTTAAGAAGCTGAGGTTTTGTATGTACAGAAGCTGAGATGGGAGTGTAACAAAGGCTCTGTGTTGTGCTGTTGCACATCAGAGCCAAAAAAACCCTAAGGGGCACATCTCTAGTACCATGTCTAGCAGATTATGCATGCAACTCCAGTTGCCAGTAATGAGTTGTGTGCCTAATCTGTCATGCACAGCACTGCACAGTTCCCCTTCCCCCAAGAGGCTGAGCTCATGGCATTTTGCTTCCCCGCAGGGTGCTGGGCACTGTTAGAGCCTCTTCAGTTAGAGGAACAGGAAAACACCATGTTCCACCTGGCTGCCCAGCCAGAAAACAGAAAGGAAAATATCTTTAACAACAACTCTGGCCACAACAGACAGGGCTGTTAGACCCCAGCATGGTTAACATTCAGGGYAGTTACCTATCTCCAGTGACATGCCATGAATTAATAAGAGGCACTRGAAATGGCCCTAATGGAGCACAGAAAAGCCTGTTCCTTGTTTTATTTTCTCACTGATTTAATGATCCAAGTGTTTTCAATTTACAACTCAAATGCTTATTTACAAAAAATTTGCCAGCATGACAGAGTCCTCTTGAAATATGAAAACTCAAGTCATGCTCCAGCTCTGACAACATCACACACACACATTCTGTCACGCATGAGATTTTGCTGTAATTGGAGCAGAGTCCAGGCTGCTGGGCTGTAGTTGTACTAGGTCTGTGAGGCTAATGTGATTACCTGTTCAAAAAAAAAAAGCAAAAAGAGAATCTTCCCCCAAATACCCACCTAGCAGTAGAGCAGAAAAAAAGCTTTTAAAAAATAGCTGGTTTATTTCAGCCTTCAGAAGTTGAACTTCCCAGGGTGTTTCTCAGATGACTTTTATTGGAAGCATGGGTCTTTGAAGGTGAGTTATTAAATCAGCAGTTAATACTTAYATTAATATATGTGTTAAAATTGTTATAATAGCAGTGATATTTCCATGCAATGATAAGACTTCAGTAATGGGGGCTTTCAGAAAAAGAAAAGTAAATACTAGGATGTTGTAGCATTAAAATCTCTAGAATTAGTTATTTTCCTACAAATTCTCAGTGTCTGAGCCTCGTAKTTGTGGCCCTGCTCAGGTACAGGCTGTTCTGCACGTGGGGTTGGGCAGGCACCCAGCCTGCTGTGCTCCTCGCTGCATACCCAGGCTTGCTTTCATTCAGTCCCAGCAGCCGGAGCCTGGCTCTCCAACACAAGGCTGGGAAGTGCCGTCAGCTTCAATTTCCCAGCTGCTGCCTAAGACAGGAGCAGATTTTCCCAAGCCTGCAGCATAATAAAGGGTTTCGGTTATTTTTCTGCCAGCCTTGCAATACTTGGAGATCRGACTCCCACTAGACTGGGTGTTGTACATGTTTTAAAAGAACTATCCATGCCCCTGGCAACACACATTTTTCTTACATGCATGGACAGATGCAGCAAACAAACAAGGAGAGCCGGAGGTGGCTGTGAACACAAACCCATCAGATGATAGAGGAGGAGGGGGACAGAGGTACAAGGGCTGGCCAGGCTTCACAGGTGAGAGGGTTGTCTGGAGCAGAGGAGAATCAAATTGTCTTGAGTAGAGGGAAGGTGAACAGTAGACCAGATGCTGTCCAGAAAAGGGTGAACACCAAAGGAGCACAAACCCCAAGGCACCACTCTCRGGTCTGGTTGAAAATAGAAGCTGCTTCCTTACAGGAGCAGATGAGAAGTGTATCAGTAAAAAGATGCCAATTAGTAAGAATGTCAGGAAGGATGGGGCAGGGTGTTTGAAGAGCGATGTATTTTGTCTCTCTCCCTCACAATGACATGTTTTGAAAGCTGYTTTAAAACAAACGCTGAGTGTTTTCAACAACAGAGGGGACCCTTTATTCTTTTTTTTTGGATAGGGTGATAGGAGAAGGAGATGGAATGTGTGATGTATATTGATAATGGTTCACAGGGAAGAAGCATCCAAGACCCAAAAGACTGGACACATCARGAATATTTTTATCAATGGGTTATTTGAATATTTACATTTTGAAGAAAGAATCTTCTTTGTTTGCTCTGCACACCAGGGACTTCTTGGCCAGTCTAAACAGCAAAGGTTTCTAATGTAAATAATTGTTCTTCTGCCTTGTGTCATGCGCGAGGATTAGAGGTGGGAAGTCCCTCAAAGAGAAGAGGATGCCTTGAAGAAGATAAGACAAGTCTCAAAAGTGCCAGTGGAAGTGGGTACATGAGGTTTCCCCCTCTTTTGCCCTCCTTGTCTCATGTGTAACTGTGCACATCCTGGGGTGAAATGCTGGAATTTTAGCATTTTATRTCAGGCCATTAATGCTGGTAAACACTGTATACTAGAGAAGGCTGGCTCAGAGCATCTGTCCTTGTCCTTGTGCCAGCAGATACCTGGTTCCCACCTGGCAGTAGCTGATAGCTTGTGCACTGATGGGGTT